AATTGTCCAACCTCAAAACCACACAGGTGTGGTGCAACATCAAGCACGTGAGGATCAAATGAGGTCAGGGCACAGTGTATACACTACATTCTTTACAATGACATGAGTAATGACAGGATTAATTCCTGCTCAGAAATGAGTGAGTAGGAGTTTCAATCTTCATACAAAGAAACACTGGATTTTTATGATAATTAACTACTAACTGAAATCCTACATAGAGTGAAAGCCCTTACATTTACAAGAATATTTTGTATATCTATCTATAACTATGAAATAACCTGTCCCAGTTAAGTTCTTGCGCCTGAGCTTTATAAGTTCAGTTAAAATACACGTAGGATAGTATGGAGATATTTTGTGGTTTCAATTATGTGTTTTTGGATGTTTCAATCTGGGGCGCGGTAAGCCTCCATTAGGTGGAGTTGTGTTGCTACCCCCTCTCCCCTTGGATCTCTGCAAGTGTTGTGAGGACCTTCACAAATACAGTAAACTGAGAAAAGAACTGGGCCCAGTATTGACCCCTGAGGGACCCCACATGTCAAAGCATGGAAAGTAGAGGTCAAACCAGATACAAGCGAGTGTGTTTGGTAAAAAAACGATTAACCAGTGATGTGCAGAGGCCCTAGTGTCATTTATCAAGTTGATGTTAAAGAGTAGTGTGATTAATAGATGTAACCATAACTACTGCACACATTATATTTTTGGATTATTTTTATTACTTAAGTTAATGTGTTATTTATTAATGGGTACATTAATTATATTTACGTAGTAGTAGATTCAGCATTATTGAGTTACTGGTAAATTATTATTATTATTTTATTGTCATTTATAGTACTTTGTATGTTGTTTCATTTGTATTTTCATGTGCTGTGTTTTAGTACAGTCATTGGTTCCTACCTGTCCTTGTTTTGTGGGGACAGGTATGAGTGAGACACAAGACAGAGTGACTGCCTCATGCTTAACAGAAAATAGAAGCTGCTGTACCCTTAAGTTTGAATATGTTAGCACTGTCTTGCCGTGTTGGTACAAATTAAACAAAGAGGAAAAATGTTGTGGCCGAGAGCAGGAAATGGTTGGTAACTTTGATTAGCTTTGACTCAGTGATATAATTATATCTGACACCCAAGTTGATCTTCTTAAATATTTTAAAGACTTACACAATTTTTCCCCCATCATTTTCCCCCAACGCTGTTTCAACTTTTCGTCTAACATGAATAAAAACAAGGATGTCCAGGCTTAGAGTTTTCAATCCTGTGACACCACAGCATACTTTGGGCCAGAAGGGAGAGAAAATTACCATTTTAACATAAATTCAACCAATTTAAGAAGTGGGGAGTGTGGAAATCAGTGGTGTCAGTAGCTTGTGTGGTACATTAGTGGAAAATATGTCTGTGTCAGTGTTTTAAATGTGCATGAGAACAAAGTGAGAACAGGGAAGCTGCAGCAGCTGCAACAACAGCAGAGTGGAGAGCCAGCCAGAGCCACGGCTACCACCCTCAGGTGTTCCCAGTTACCCTGACGATCACCTGCCTTCAGAGAGAGCACAGACGAATGAATCGCATAGAACACAAGATGAGAGAGACAGGCCGTGTAATATCATCAGCATTGTGATTACAAAAAGGGAAAACACTCATACTTTACAAAGGACAGATGAAGAGGGACAACATGGCTTAAAAATGTTCCCTTAATTTCCCTTAAACCTTAATTTGTTGCAAAGGAACTGGTGAGCTTGTTCCAATGAATGCTTTAACTGTTCAGCCTAAAATCCACATAGGTGTGGTCCAACAGCAGATCTGGATCTGATGCAGGTGCACCGTACAAAGGAAAGACATGATTACTGCTCAGAAATAATTCAGTAGGAGTTCATGTTCACATCATATCCTAAATAAAGTGACAGCCTTTTAATTTATAAAAAAACATTTTGGATGTTTTGCTCACTAAAAAGATAACCAGTGTGCCTGTTTGGTTCTTGAGTTTTATGAGCTGGTTAGTAAAGTGTAGGGTAAGGCTGTGGTACATTCCAGTGCTAATTAAATCTCATTGTGTTTAAATTATCAGCTTACAGTTGACAAACTGTTCCACAAATTATGTTCCACAAATGTAAAATGCATTCAGGCTACAGTATGCCATCTTAGTGTGCCGGATTTCTTTATATGGTCTTCATGTAGAAGAATAGGCACAGACAGTAAGAGGAAAAGTAAGGTTTGGTTGTGTATGACAGAGAATTTTGTTTTTGCCACTTGCTGTCAGGAGAGGAATAAAAGGAGATCACGGTCTGGGCCTCTTTATATCTGCACAACGCAGACATCACTAGAGTCCACAGGCAACAAACAAACAAAAAAACAAACAATACAACTGAACATAACTCAGGCAGTGATTACATTTCCCTCAAAACTATGGCAAAATAAGTTAGCAGTATTGTCACAGGTTTGGAATACCAGGGAGAAATCTAAAAATGTTGGTGAGTTCTGCAAATAAATATTAATAACAAAATGTTGTGACATTCAGAATTTCATAACTGAGAGAATGTGCCAAACTCTGTTGGCTTTCATGTGTTTTAGAGGGATGTATAGAGGGTGAACTTGTTCGGATGTGTCTTTTGTTTTGATTGTCCAACCTCAAAACCACACAGGTGTGGTGCAACATTAAACACGTGAGGATCAAATGTAGGTCAGGGCACAGTGTAAAAACTACATACTTAGCCATTATATGATTCATGGCATGATTAATTACTGCTCAGAAATGAGTGAGTAAGAGTTGCAATCTTCATACAAGAAACACTGTCCTTGATCATTAACTCCTTTCAGTATTGGTGTATCCTGAAAAAACTTGAAATGTTCATATCATGGTCTACATTAAGTGACAACCCTTATATATAAAAGTATAGTTTATATGCCTACTAACTTTGAAATAACCACTGTATCAGTTTAGTTCTTGCATCTGAGCTTTATAAGTTCAGATAAAATACATTAGTTAAGTGTAGCTTGAGGCTTCAACATCAGTCTTTTGAGTTGGAATGAATTTGATAAACTCCCCAAGTGCAAAGGCAAAAAATGATGGTCTAAAAAATGTTCAGAGAATCAATTCTTCATTTTCCTGACAGTTTACTGTCAGTCAACAGCAACCAACCTCTTTGTACCAGAAGGATGGAAATGTGACAGAAAAAGACTTGCTTAGGACTTGAAACACAAAGTTCAGGACTTAGACTTGAGTCACTGACACTCCGTTGCAAAGACTTAATCTCACTTGAAAGAACATGACTTTGTCCAACCTTCATAAATATAGTAAACTGAGAAAAGTATTGGACCCAGTATTGACCCCTGAGGTACGCCACATGTCAAGGCATGGAAAGTAGAGGCCTAACCAACTACAGGTGAGAATGTTTGGTAAAAAACATAAACCACTGAAGTGCAGAGGCCTTAGTGTCATTTATCAAGTTGATATTAAAGAGTAGTGTGATCAAGATCATAGTAAGTTTTTAGGAAAATTTAAATTGCGCTGTGAATGTGATCAGCCGAGAGCAGGAAATTGTTCGTTACTTTGATTAGATTTGACTCAGTGATATAATTACTACTGAAACCCAGTTTGATCTTTTCAGATATTTAAAAAAAAGAAAAGAACACAGTTTTTCTCTGTGGTTTGTTCAAAGAATGCTAATTCAACTTTTTGTCTAACATGAATAAAAACAAGGACATCCAGACTTAGAGTTTTCCACCCTGTGACACCACAGCATGCTTTCAGCTACAAGGGAGAGACAAATGACCATATTAACATAAATTCAACCAATTTAAGAAGTAAACTAAGGATTAAAAGTGTGGAAAGCAGTGGTGTCAGTAGCTTGTGTGGTGCATGTATGGAAAATATGTGTGTGTAGGTCAATCAATTTCAATCAATCAATTTTATTTATAAAGCCCAATATCACAAATCACAATTTGCCTCACAGGGCTTTACAGCATACAACATCCCTCTGTCCTTTGGACCCTCACAGCGGATAAGGAAAAACTCCCCCAAAAAAACCCTTTAACAGGGGAAAAAAACGGTAGGTGTTTTAAATGTGCATGAGAACAAAGTGAGAACAGGGAAGCTGCAGCAGCTGCAACAACAGCAGAGTGGAGAGCCAGTCAGAGCCACGGCTACCACCCTCAGGTGTTCCCAGTTACCCTGACGATCACCTGCCTTCAAAGAGAGCACAGACGAATGAATCACATATGACACCACAGGTCTCTGGAGAGACAGGCAGTGTAATATCATCAGCGTTTTGGAATAAAGAAAAGGAGAAACACTCATACTTAGCAAAGGATAGATGAAGAGGGACAACATGGCTTAAAAATGTTCCCTCAATTTCACTTAAACCTTAACTTGGTACAAGGAAACTGGTGAGCTTGTTCCAATGAATACTTTAACTGTTCAGCCTAAAATCCACATAGGTGTGGTCCAACAGCAGATCTGGATCTGATGCAGGTGCACCGTACAAAGGAAAGACATGATTACTGCTCAGAAATAATTCAGTAGGAGTTCATGTTCACATCATATCCTAAATAAAGTGACAGCCTTTTAATTTATAAAAAAACATTTTGGATGTTTTGCTCACAAAAAGATAACCAGTGTGCCTGTTTGGTTCTTTTGTCTGAGTTTTATGAGCTGGTTAGTAAAGTGTAGGGTAAGGCTGTGGTACATTCCAGTGCTAATTAAATCTCATTGTGTCTAAATTGTGTCTGCATGTGTCTGCATGATATGTTCCGCCAATGTAAAATGCATTCAGGTTACAGTAGGACATCATAGTGTGCTGGATTTCTTTATATGGTCTTTGTGTGGTCTTTATGTAGAAGCATAGGCACACACAGTAAGAGGAAAAGAAAGGATTTTGTTGACGATTAAAGGATGGTAACATTCTTTTAGAAACCTTAAGTACTAGTATGAACCAGTATGATCCCTTAAAAATACATGTAAAAATAACAAATAAATTGGCAAGAACACAAACAATTTCTCCATTTTTTTTTTTTTTAAAAAAACATGACTTTTATTTTCAGATTCACAAGTCATACATTGCACATTTAGTCAATGGAATTGATGTCTGGAGTGCATTCAACAACATTTAAAGCATTTAATGTACATTTATTCATGTATGAGTCCGGTATCATCTTGTAAAGATTCATTTGAATCATAAAATAAATGCTTTTAAAGAAAAAAATTTGCCTTCATCTTTTACGCAGTAAAAAGTTGTGCGTCGTGTCTTACTAAAGACCAAAATAACACATGAATTGGGCCTGTTGCAGGCCAGTGTTGGTCAAATACAATTACAGTACAATATCTAACACATAGACAATCTCAACATCAATTAGCATCTTTCTTCTGACACATCACAGAGCTGACTCAATGGTTATGTCCCGACCCTCCTTGACTTTTCCCTCAAAAGGACAGATCATCAGCGGGGCGGTGTTCTTCCCATCATCTTGAACACAGGGGTTAAAGTACGGATACAGGGGCTCAGTGAAGTCACAGTTGCTGTAAGTGTAAATGTGAGTCTTGGCTTCTGCGTCGTAGAAGGACACCACTCCCTCCTCGTAGTCCAGGAAGATGCCGACTTTCCTGGGGGCTTCCCGGAGGTGGAGTGTGACGCAGGGGCTGGCGCAGGCGCTGAGGCTGCCGCCTTTTCGCCGGCAGATCGCCCAGTAACCGTTGTTGGGATTCACTGTGATAGCCCCCTTTCTGGTGATGGATTCTCTGGCCACGCCAAGATCCCAGTCTGTTTTACCTCCAACCTGAAACACAACATACAGAATACAGAGTCAGCCATGCATGTTTCCTTTTAATTAAGTGCTTTAAATACATTTGGTGCAACTGATTTAAAATAGTTTTTGTTCATGTGTTACTTTTAGGCTTTTCCTGTACCATGTCAAGTAGTGTGTTACAGTTGAAAAACCATAAATTCCTGATACAAAAATGGCAAATTGACACATTTTTTACCCAAATGTGACTCCGTATTTGGCTTTGACTGTGTGCAGGCTGTCCTTCTAAATCCTAATAAACCTTTGTTTATCACCACTAAGACACGACTCCACTTAGTGAACAACGTGCTAGCTAAAAGTGTGTTTTCTTGTTTCAAAGATGCTCACCTGAACCACCCAGTAGCGTCTTCCAGATGCAAAGTTTTGTTTCCCCAAAACGCAGACGCAGGCGTTAAACCGCTGAGGACTGTCTGGGAGCTGGGTGTTATTCCTCTGGCTGCTGACGCTCACCTGTAGACCAACATAACCATCATTATCATCTTACACATTAGCCTAATCAGCAACAATTAATAGCCTTATTGATTTCCAAATTAGCATTTTAGCTTCCTGTGCTTTCTTCTCCAATTTTCATGTGATAATATATCACATTACTTTCACCTCTGTGAAAGTAAAATGTGACTCAGCAGGGAGTGTCTACATGCATAAGCTTGAACAATTATAGCTCAACCTGCTGCGTCAGAACAAAAGATTGTTTGTCTTTACAGTTCTTATATGTGAGGAATCCAAACTATTCTGAGGACTAGTTTCCGAGGAGGACTCTTGGATCTTCACACATTTGATGTAATGATGATATAATCTGACAATACCTTCTTTCTGTCTGGAGACAGGACCAGCCAGCCTGATGCAGTCTCAGGATCCAGAGTGACATCAACTGCAGAAACAAAGAAGAAAAACAGTGAGTCAGGTAATAAAAAGGAGGGCTTTAATCCAGGTTTGACGAGGCTATTGCATAATGAAATGATTGTGTGATTGTGAACATACCTGCGTATTGATTCAGCAAGTCCGCTTCTGCAAAAAATAAAAAAAAGAAGAGGAGAAAGGTTATTTTCATGCACTGACTGTCACATAATATCTTGAATCCTTTTGTGAAGTAAATAACAATTTAAAAGATCACTGACCTTGTGCAGACAGTTGGTTTGCAAGGTCCTGGCAGACGTCCACAAGCTTGGAGACGGCTCTTGTCAACGTCCCCATGCAGTTATCCGAGTGGACCGTGACCTCAGACCAGTCTCTGGTGGTCGGGAGTCGACTCAGAGTGGGGAAGCTCTAAAATCAGGAGAGCACACACAGGTTTCTCATGAGCACATGTCTTGAAATGTTGACGCAGCACAGAAATGTTGAAATGCAGTTTGAGTAGCTTACCCGCACGAGGTGCACAGGGTTTGGGGCGTGCTCCAGGTTCTGCAGCACGCTGTTCCTTGTCTGCAGCTCATTGACTTCCCGCTGCAGCTCCTCGTACAGCTCCGCGGCTCTCCTCTCGGCCTCCTGCTGCCTCTCCTCCAGCTCTTCCACCAGCTCGGCCTGCTGTCTCTGGATGGCGTTTATCAGCATGTCGCAGACCTGAGCGCTGCGTTGTATCTCCCCCTGGGAGATTTGCTGTTGATTGAAATGATGAAAACACGTAAATTTACACATAAAAACAATCAAACGTGACCAGTTGGATCTTTCTGAACATGCATCCATGCTATAACTTACTCTGCTTTGAGCCACTGAATCTTTTATCTCGTCCATTTTTCTCAATCTGGCGTGGATCATCTGTTGAACGCTGGCTTTTGTCTCCCTCAAACAAATCTGAACGGTCAAAAAAGGAACAGTTTTGAATATAATGTGCTGCAAAATGTACAAAAATGCAGCAGCTTTATTGGCTTCAAGGCAAAATATGTAGATGAGTTCCTCACCTTGACCTTCTTGCTCTTCTTCCCAATGGGGACGACTTTGTGGTTCTTGTGGTTCCTCTCTGTGCATCTCTCACACACAGGCTTCTGGTCCTTCTCGCAGAACATCGTCAACGGGTTCTTGTGGGTTCTGCAGAGGTGACTGGTGGCATAGGCGGCCGGATCCATCAGCCCGTGCCTCAGCAGCTCCGGATCCCTCAGGTGTGGCGTGAGATGAAGCTCGCAATAAGACGTCTGGCACGCTAGGCACGACTTGACCGATGGCATCTTGTTTCCGTTGCAGACGTCACATGGAACCTCATCAACCTCGAAAGGTTGGTTTAGGGAATTTTTCCTGTTTCTTGCTTGCCCCGGAGCATCGCCGTCCTCTTGATTACTTTTAAATAGAATTAAATTATGTTAAAATTCAATTTAATTTTGCGTTTTGAAAATTGTTTCCAAGCATCTGAAGGAACCAGAGTGCTTAAAAAAAAGTACAAAAAGAAACAAACCTTTCATAGAATTTAATGATATCAGCGTATCCATGGTTGATCCTGAGCTGTGGGCGTGTGCTGAATGTCTTTTTGCACAGCGGACACTCGGGTTTGGGTTTTGTATCCCAGAAACCTTCAATGCAGTCCAGGCAGAAGTTGTGTCCACAAGGGATGGTGGTGGGGTCGGTGTAGATTTCCAGACAGATGCAACACTTGAATTGCTCCTCAAGCGGCACGGTGAGGGCCATGTTTGTGACTGGAGAGAATAAATTATATTACTTTAACATGCATATGCTCATGCACAATTTAACTGCACATCATGCATGTAAGACAGATCGTCTTGTCTCCAGCAAAATTCACAAACATCGAACAGTGATATTTTTTTGCAATCTAATACAGAAGAAATATGAATAAATACTATTAAATATTTCCTCTTGCCTTTTTGTCCAGGCTTAAAGCTTAAAGTGCATCAAAGTTACAATCGTTCAATGTTTTTAATCATCTGTACAAACAAAGACTTTCTAAAAGTAATGTAAATTTCGAATAATGCAATGCAATAAATGTAATGAAGTAGACGTCAAATAGTAAAATACATTTCAGCATTGATGTTGCAGTGTGTCATTCTGTTTTCTTGTGTCTCATAATATTTCAGTATCCTCTTACCTGTTTGTGCTGTCATGTTGAGCGTCCTGATCGTTCTCATCAGATGCAGAACACAGTGCATGTTGCAGCCTTTATATACTCACAGTCATGCTGTCTGATCACCGTTAAGCTCCTCCCCACTGGGTTCAGGTACTTTTCAACATCATCACTGAAACTTTCTGGTATTTCTGGTTCCTCGACTTTGATTTGCTGTTGTATATAACTCTACCCTGAGGTCACATGGTTGAGCTCTCTGAGGGCTTGGCTCTCTTGGCTGCAGCCTGAGCTGTAATCGGAGAGGCTGATCAGCACTGTGGTGTGAATTCCCGACATGTCTGTGACCGAGCAGCAGCCAAAACGTAACAAGCTAATTGCTCAGGTTAATAGATATGTGTACCTGTGTAGAAAATAAATGTAGAAAACCACCTGAGATGACCATAATATTTAATAAGTGTAATCAAACTGCATTGTGCCATGGCCACCCTGCTTGTGACCCAACAAGTGGGTATGTTTTTGATTAGATTAGTTTAGACTACAAGTCAGCAGTAACTGATCTGCCCATAGAGGACATAGCAGGCTGCCTGCGTCGAATACTTTTCTTTTTTACCCTTTTTTATTTGACAATCAAAAAATTCACGCAAAAGGGAGATTGCAGAGTGACGACAGTCCGTACAACCATCAGGCGATGGTGGAGGAGGTTGTAATGATGCACCTTTCAATGGTGGTCTGTCGGGACATTTAATACTTGTGGCATTTGGCAGAGAGTTCTTTTCACTACATAACAGATTGATTCTTCTGTATCACCATTTCTTAAATATCTGTTTAATGTCTCACTCTACACAGCCCCCACAATTTGGAGGCACTGCTCAGTTTTGTTCATATCTGTAAGCTTTCAGGAAATGTGCACAAATACAGATGAAATGAACGCAGAGCACAGACAGAAAGATCTGTGTGTGTCCATATACGTATCTAACACTGAGCATAAATGAGTATAAGAGTTGGGTGCAGTGCAAAAACAAAAAGAAGACAACATTTGCAAAAAAATGAACAAAAAAAATGTATTCTGGATTTCGTTGTATGTTTGTACAATGGCAGTAAAGAAATCTGAAATCTGACACACAGAGACAGACAACTATTCACACTCACATTCACACCTACGGACAATTTAGAGTCACCAGTTAACCTGCATGTCTTAGTCTTTGGTGGGAGGAAGCCGGAGTACCCGGAGAAAACCCACGTTGACACGGGGAGAACATGCAAACTCTGCATAGGAGGGCTCCTCCACCCTGGGATTCGAACTGGGAACCGTCTTGCTGTGAGGCCAATTTTTCAGTTTATATGAGATAATTCAGTAGATAATTACTTATGAATGATTATTCATTTTCGTTAAAAAAAAGGGCAAAAACTATAGAAGACTTTCCGAATTTTCAGACTTTCATTGTCTTTAACAACATTTTTAAACACACACACACACACACACACACACACACACACACACACACACACACACACACACACAATATGGAAGAAGCCATTTCGTAGAGAATCAACTCTCTTATCCTCCCAGTTTGCACTGTATGAAAGAAACTGCAACCAATTGTCCACCACACCAAAGCCACACAGTTCACACAATCATACATAATATATTTTAATTTTCAGTGGCCAGAGGAAAAACACCAGTCCTCAACTGTGCAACTTTAGATTCACAAACTGTAACAGAAGATTCAGGACCAAACTTTTGTTTAATATGCATCAAGGTTCGTAATATACTTTTTTTATCTTGCTATTTAGTTTGATTTGTCGAGATGTAAGTGCATAAATGACGTGCAAGTCCATCAGTGCACATGCAGTGACGTCAAGAACAAACAGATGTTCTTGATAGATAAGATAAGAGTTGTTTTATTTAGTACTTCTGCATTTTTCTGTATAGATGCGTTTCAGCTCCGCTGTCACAACGTAAAAAAGAAAGACAAACCTGTTCTTTCAGTCCAAAGTGTAAACAAATGCCCGAGTAGCTGCACGTCAGAGGGAAATATTGTTTTTCAGTGAACTGATTCAACTTACGTCAGAAAAGGGCATGCAACATAAGATAGGGCCAACTCATTGTGTTAGAGACGGATTGTTTTCTTTCTGCAGACTCTCTGGTTGTGAAAGTATTAAGCTCCTTTACTTCAGTAACAGAGGACAGTACTACAATAATAAAACACTCTACATGCATTGTTTAGTGGATGATCATCCTATGTGTTGCATGTTGAATCTTCTTCTGGAAACAAGCAGAGGTTTGGACTTAAGTCACAAGTTTTGTTACTTCAGACTTGACGGTTTGCAACTCAGCGTAGAACTGTAGAGAACCATGAAGAACTAATTCGATGTTAAATAACAAAGAAAATTTCATTCACGTTCAAAAAGTAATGCACAAAAAATCCAGTCTAGAGTATGTAAAACATGTCGAAAAATACGCCAAACTTGTAAATGTTAGAGCAGTGGTTCCCAACTGGTCCAGCCAAGGGGTCCAGATTTCTCTTTAGTCATTAGTTCAAGGTCCACAAAGTTCAATATATTTAACGTCATACTTGCGTTTGGCCATGTTGTCGAGCTAGTTTGCTATCTCTGTTAAGCAGCTGTCCATTAGTCACTCACTCTACAGCAAAAGCTCTGAACCAGATATTTACTGTACTTCAAAATATAAAGTGTGTCTTTTACAAACTTTGATACGTCACTAACGGTCCTTTCAGAATGGGCTCGCGACCCAATGAGTTGTGAATCACTGTGTTTGAGCATGCATGATTTTTATGAGTTTAATATGTTATTACTCTGCTTTTAAAATTGCATTTGGTAAAGAGCGAATTACAACTTGTTTAGGACTCATAACTCAAAGTCAAGGACCTGGGACTTGAATTGGTCAGACAAAACATGTCAGTGTTGACTTGACCTTTTTGCACCAGGCTGTAAACATGTTGATTTCTGCTGTAAAGCTGGGCATTTCATATGAATGTCTATGAGGACTGACTCACCTCTAGAGCCAGCTTCAGGTGGCCATTCAAAGAACTGCAGTATTCAGGACTCGGGTGTTCCAAATTTAGCTAGGTTGGCTAAACTGGCACACTTACGGAAATGCTCATTAAAGTGCACTGTCCATGTAATCTTACACTGTATAAACAGAATAAATAGTGAAGTACAAATACTTAAAAACTAAACTGGCTCAGAGGTAGAGCAGGTCATCCACTATTCAGAAGATCAGTGTTTCGATCCCCAGCTCCTCCAGCTCGCATTTCAAAGTAACCTTTGGCAAGATACTGAACCCCATATCACTCCCAATGGCTGTTTCATCAGTGTGTGAGTGCATGTAAATGGATATCGATTTGCAGGTGGCACCATGTATAGCAGCCTCGGCCACCAGTGTGTGACTGTGTGTGTTTAGTTTAGTTTAGTATATTTAAGAAGGGACAGTGTAAATGAATATTACCCATGGTATAAAAATGCTAGAATTAGCCAAAAGGCTATTTTTCATCTGTAGTCCCTTGGCCAAGATGTTACACAAGGCTACCTGAAATACAACAAAGTACAAACAAACAAAGAAAAAACTGATTAATGTAAGTCCAATATTCACTCTCTTCTGGCTCTGTTTTGGTTTGGGTTCTTTAGCTACTAAATGCTCCACTGTGTTCACCAGCTAGTTGCTAACTGTGTCTGTCTGCTGTTCGTCGCCCAGTTCATGCAGACGTATGCACCTGATATGCTGCAACCAGTGTCGTAATAGACAATGAGTCATCTACACACACACATTCACACACATGTACACACACACAGGTATCAGCCGTATGAAGATGTGGGCAGACTCAATGACTCACAGCAGGTCTGACAGAATCTCTATTGTGATACTAAGTGTGCTGACAGAGTCTCCAGTAAGCATTTTAATGTTGTTTTCCTGATCAAGGTGGAGCTTATTACTGTACATCATGTAATCATTCAATCCAAGAACGTATCATTTTATAAGATGGCTGTGTTTACCTTCCTGTAAAACTGTAAACCTTCCTGGTAAACTACATATAAAGTGTCACACTGTGAGCTTCACATGTTTTAAACTGTTAAACGGAGCCCCTGCTTCTGTTTTTTATGCTAAACCAAGCTACTCCAAACTAACTGCCTGTCAGCTGTAGGCTGATATCAATATACACACACAAAAATGGTATCAATGCTTTCACATGACTCCGCACAAAAATGTCAAACTATTTCTTTAGTCTGCAAAGTACCTGTTAGCCTACTGTTTCTGTCACATAAAGGACAATATCTGCCTCTGTAGTGGAAAGTTGTGTATACTGGTGTGGAAATACCTGAGTTAGGCAACACATTCTCACTCCCCACTTATCAAATACAGACACTTCCCCAACATGTCAAACTGTAACACTCTATGTACACGTCCAGCATTAATTTATGTTACTTACATACAGTGTGTTATTGTTATTTCCTTTGATTTAGGGAACAAAGGCACGTGGTTAGGTCATACTAGCACACTACATTGTTAGTTAAATAACTCAGTTGACTTTTGGTTTCACCAGACACAAACAGCTATCCCCAGGTGAAAGTCCAGAGTTTGTTTGACACGTATACTCCAGCAGCTGCTCGGGCTATAAAAAAATGCTGCAGTTAGGTGCATCTCATTGCACCATTAAAGGGTGGCTTGATGCATCAGTGTCTGATGCAGAGGGCCACGGACCCTGCATCAGTATTTGATGAACTGGGAGTCAGACAGGGTTGTAAGTAACCTGGAAATCCAGATGCCCCGCCCTTAGCAAATTCGAATTTGCTCTGCACAGGGACCTGGCCCCAATGAGCAGAGCCTGTTGAATCGCCATCGGACAAATCAGATCAGTCTATCTGACAGAGGCGGGCTCTGGGCGAGCGTAACATGATGACGACAGCGCTGCGCCGTAAGAGTCTAAAAGTAAACAGCCAAGATGGCAGCTGCTGAAGGATTGCGTCCATTCAATTTAGCTTTGGAAGAAACGCTAAGCCAACTACACTTATCTTTTTCCTTGAGAGAGGAACAG